CCCAAAGTGATGGGATGACAGGTCTGAGTGAGCCACGGTGCCCGGCCCACAGCGCCTTCTACCCCCTTTTCTCTGTGCCTCAGCTGCTCCCTGTGCACAGTGGGCATTAAAGAGCACTGAGTTCAGAAGATGACAGTGACAAGAATTGGACAAATTCTCAAATTCTCAAGGGTAGTGTCTACCAGTGGCCTTACTGGGAAAAGTCCCAGCCTAATCCCACCCTCCAGCCTAGTGGCTGACTTTAAGGGGAGGGGTATAGCAAAACTCAGTGATCAAGACAAATCATATTTTAATGTAACATTTTTAGAATTCAAATTAGCAAACTATGACCCCCAGGCTGGCTTCGGCTTCTGTACATGAAGCTTCATTGGAACAAACCACTTGGGTTCAAATCCTAGTTCCTACCTTCCTTTCATGATCTCAAGCAAATTCTCTTGCTTTTCTCAGCCTCGGCTTCCTTGTCCATGAGATGGAGAGGACAGCAATTCCTTGACCACAGGCTCCTGTTAAGATTAAATGAGATTGCCGGGCACTGTGGCTCATGCCTGTAATCCCAGCTCTTAGGGAGGCAGAGGCTGGAGGATAGCTTGAGCCCAGGAGTTCGAGACCTGCCTGGGCAATATAGCGAGACCCCATTCTCCACAAAAAGGAAAAAAACAAGAAGACCAAAAAAAAAAAGCGTAAAAAGATTAAATGAGATTATGCATATCAACCCTTTGGCAGCAACTGGGACTCAGGAGCACTTTTTAAAAAAATAATGGCGGCCGGGCACGGTGGCTCACGCCTGTAACCCCAGCACTTTGGGAGGCCGAGGCGGGTGGATCACGAGGTCAAGAGATCGAGACCATCCTGATCAACATGGTGAAACTCCGTCTCTACTAAAAATACAAAGAATTAGCTGGGCATGGTGGCACGTGCCTGTAATCCCAGCTACTCAGGAGGCTGAGGCAGGAGAATTGCCTGAACCCAGGAGGCGGAGGTTGCGGTGAGCCGAGATCACGCCATTGCACTCCAGCCTGGGTAACAAGAGCGAAACTCCATCTCTAAATAAATAAATAAATAAATAAATAAAATAATGGCAATGAGCATTATTACTACTAGTTGCTATTGTCATAGTATCAGAGATTTTAATCCAAGTAGACATTCTAGGCAGCCTAGCACCCTCATTGCTACACATCCTGAGAGTTAAAGGGCACCCTATGTGCCAGGGGCCATTCTAAGCACTTCACATGCATCAGTTCATTTAACCTCTTGTTTCTGGGGCCCAGGAACAGAGCCAGGAGAGGGAGGGGAGGCGGGAGAGGGAGGGAGGGAAGCCTCCCTCTGGGTCTGGGTCCAGACTCCTACTGAGCTCATCACCTGAAAAGAGGTGATGGTCTTGCTAATGGGTATTATTCCATTTTTCTTTTCTTTTTTTTTTTTTCTTTTTTGAGACGCAGTTTAACTCTTGTTGCCCAAGCTGGCATGCAATGGTGCTATCTCAGCTCACTGAAACCTCCGCCTCCTGAGTTCAAGCACTTCTCCGTCAGCTTCCCCATTAGCTGGGATTACAGCACACACCACCACACCCTTTTTTTTTGAGATGGAGTTTTGCTTTTGTTGCCCAGGCCGGAGTGCAATGGTGCGATCTTGGCTCACAGCAACCTCCGCCTCCCGGGTTCAAGCAGTTCTCCTGCCTCAGCCTCCCAAGTAGCTGGGATTACGGGCACACGCCACCACACCCGGCTAATTTTCGTAATTTTAGTAGAGATGGGATTTCTCCATGTTGGTCAGGATGGTCCTGAACTCCTGACCTTGTGATCCACCCACCTCAGCCTCCCAAAGTGCTGGGATTACAGGCGATAGCCACTGCGCCCAAGCTGATGTTTTGTATTTTTAGTAGAAACGGGGTTTCACCATGTTAGCCAGGCTGGTCTCAAACTCTGGATCTCAGGTGATCCATCCGCCTCAGCCTCCCAAAGCACTGAGATTACAGGCATGAGCCACTGCGCCCAGCCTATCCCATTTTTCAGTTGAGGAAACCTAGGCATATAGAAGTTACATCACTAGCAATCATCACACACCCAGTGAACAGGGTGTCCTGGATTCAAATCCAGACCGTCTGGCTCCGGAGTCCAGGTGGCACATGCCCCCTCATGTGCAAACTGTCCCAGACACACAAGCACGCACTGCCAGCCACAGTCCTTGCTCATTTTGTCCCCCACGGAACTCGCCACACTGAAAGTGACTTGCACACAATGAGGGTTCATGGCAAGCTGTGGAGATGCCCTCAGCCATAACCACCCAGGCCTCCTATCACAGCAGTCTGTCACAGGCCAGGTGCCCAAGGAACACCAGGGCTCTGTGGGCCCCTGCCTGACACCTCTCCCTTGGAATTTTCCCGACAATATAGCCCCTGAAGGCCACAGCTGAGGGTCAGGGGACCCTCAATCTCTTCAATGGACAGATGGACACCTGAGGCCCAGGACAGGAAGGGACCCACCAAATCCCATGGCAGCAAGCCATGGAGCAGCAAGCCGTAGGCAAGCCTCTGGCTGAGCTGCCTGGACCCTCACCACCCTCACCCTTGCATCTGGCTTCACTGTGGCTGTGGGGGCCTCCTGCCCAGCCAGCAGGTTAGTTTGCGAAGGGCCCTGACCTTTCTCTTTACCCAGCCCTACTGCCTGGATCAGATTCCAGATCCAAGAAAAGTCTGGAGGATCTTCCCATTCCCTTTGCTTTCCCCCCACTCAGCTAGGGCCCAGGAACAGAGCCGGGAGAGGGAGGGAAGCCTCCCACGCCCCATATGGGTCCAGATCCCCATTGAGCTGGGAGCTGAGGCTCTCATCCCTGCTTCCTGCTTTTGCCCCAGACCTTCTTACCACCAAGTGAGTGTCTGAGTCCAGCATGACTTTCCCTGCTGCCCTTATAGATGATTCAATTCAGCGCCAAATACCACCCCCTACACACATATGTAAACCCACATGCATAGAAAAATGTGCATTAAAAATACACACATGCACATATCCCAGGGCCCTCTGTTCCCATCTCTTTCTGGTATTTTGTTTGTTTGTTTTTTGAGAGGGAGGCTCGCTCTGTCACCCAGGCTGTGGTGCGATCTCAGCTCACTGCAACCTCCTCCTCCCAGGTTCAAATGATTCTCCTGCCTCAGCCTCCCAAGAGTAACTAGGACTACAGGCAAGCGCCACCACGCCAGGCTGATTTTTTGTATTTTTAGCCGAGACAGGGTTTCACCATGTTGGCGAGGCTGGTCTCGAACTCCTGACCTCATGATCTGCCCGCCTCAGCCTCCCAAAGTGCTGGGATTACAGGCGTAAGCCACGGCGCCCAGCCCTCTTTCTGTTGATCTTCTCGGGAGCTCCCCTTTCTTCCCATCTCTCCTTCTTAGAAGAATCCCACTGGAGCACCACATATCCAAGGAGAGTGAGAATGGGTTCCTTTCTTTTTTTTCCTCTTTTAGGACACGTTTCTGTTCTTGCAAGTTCTTATCTCTGTTCTTGTGGGTTCTTTTCATACTTACTGTGGCACTGTGGTCAAGCCTTGCAGCTGCTCAGAGCCACAGCCGCCTCACAGTAAGGTGGGCATAATAAGAGACCTTCCTCCTAGAGATGTAGATGGTGAAATTAGGTCATTCGTTTAGGTGTTTAGCACTGTGTCTGGCACGCAGTGGCTACTCAGTGAGAGCTTTAATAAAGTTGAGTGAAATGCTTCGAGAATTTGGCAGGACTGTGTACAAAGTGAGTCTCCCAACTCCTGCCACCCGAGTTATGTAAGGCAAGAATTTGTAGTAATTTCCCAGTGAGAAAATTGAGGCCCAGAGTCTGAATGGTAAAACTAGAATGAAGATTCCAGTCCCTGGATCCCAAAGCCACTCCATGCTGCTGGCAAATCCACTGATGGCTGGGAACGTGCATGATAAATGAGCGTCTCTGAGTGAGCACCAGTTAGGGAGGGCGACACTATCTGGTCTGAAGCTCTGCAAGTTTAGGAATTATATCCCTAGCATCTTCCAATAAGGGAGATTAGACATGTTGGCCAGGCATGGTGGTTCACACCTGTAATCCCAGCACTTTGGGAGGCCGAGGCGAGCGGATCACCTGAGATTGGGAGTTCAAGACCAACCTGACCAACATGGAGAAACCTCATCTCTACTTAAAAAAAATATATATATATATATAAAATTAGTCAGGCATGGTGGCAGGCACCTATAATCCTAGGTACCCCGGAGGCTGAGGCAGGAGAATCGCTTGAACCCGGGAGGTGGAGGTTGTGGTGAGCCAAGATCATGCCCTTGCACTCCAGCCTGGGCAACAAGAGCAAGACTGTCTCAAAAAAAAAAAAGAAGGCTGGGCGCGGTGGCTCACGCCTGTAATCTCAGCACTTTGGAAGGCCAAGGGGGGTGGATCATGAGGTCAAGAGATCGATACCATCCTGATCAACATGGTGAAACCCCGTCTCTACTAAAAATACAAAAAATTAGCTGGGCATGGTGGCGCGTGCCTATAATCCCAGCTACTCAGGAGGCTGAGGCAGGAGAATTGCCTGAACCCAGGAAGCGGAGGTTGCGGTGAGCTGAGACTGCGCCATTGCACTCCAGCCTGGGTAACAAGAGCAAAAAACTCCAGCTCAAAAAAAAAAAAAAGGAAAAAAAAGAAATGTCGGCCAGGCGCGGTGGCTCAAGCCTGTAATCCCAGCACTTTGGGAGGCCGAGGCGGGTGGATCACGAGGTCAAGAGATCGAGACCATCCTGGTCAACATGATGAAACCCCATCTCTACTAAAAATACAAAAAATTAGCTGGGCGTGGTGGCGCGTGCCTGTAATCCCAGCTACTCGGGAGGCTGAGGCAGGAGAATTGCCTGAACCCAGGAGGCGGAGGTTGCGGTGAGCCGAGATCATGCCATTGCACTCCAGCCTGGGTAACAAGAGCGAAATCTCGTCTCAAAAAAGAAAAAAAAAATGTCCAGTGGCCCAACCAAAGCCCATGTCCTCTCTTTTCAGGTGATGACTTTCCTCTGAGGAAGCCCTGCAGCCTGCCTGGAGGAAGGGGCTCCCCAACCCCAGCCCCACCTAGCCACCATGAACACCTCAGCCCCACCTGCTGTCAGCCCCAATATCACCGTCCTGGCACCAGGAAAGGGTCCCTGGCAAGTGGCCTTCATTGGGATCACCACGGGCCTCCTGTCACTGGCCACCGTGACAGGCAACCTGCTGGTACTCATCTCCTTCAAGGTCAACACGGAGCTCAAGACAGTCAATAACTACTTCCTGCTGAGCCTGGCCTGCGCTGACCTCATCATCGGTACCTTCTCCATGAACCTCTACACCACATACCTGCTCATGGGCCACTGGGCTCTGGGCACGCTAGCTTGTGACCTCTGGCTGGCCCTGGACTATGTGGCCAGCAACGCCTCCGTGATGAATCTGCTGCTCATCAGCTTTGACCGCTACTTCTCCGTGACTCGGCCCCTGAGCTACCGCGCCAAGCGCACACCCCGCCGGGCAGCTCTGATGATCGGCCTGGCCTGGCTGGTTTCCTTTGTCCTCTGGGCCCCAGCCATCCTCTTCTGGCAGTACCTGGTCGGGGAGCGGACAGTGACGGCGGGGCAGTGCTACATCCAGTTCCTCTCCCAGCCCATCATCACCTTTGGCACAGCCATGGCCGCCTTCTACCTCCCGGTCACGGTCATGTGCACGCTCTACTGGCGCATCTACCGGGAGACAGAGAACCGAGCACGGGAGCTGGCAGCCCTTCAGGGCTCTGAGACGCCAGGCAAAGGGGGTGGCAGCAGCAGCAGCTCAGAGAGGTCTCAGCCAGGGGCCGAGGGCTCCCCAGAGACTCCTCCAGGCCGCTGCTGTCGCTGCTGCAGGGCCCCCAGGCTGCTGCAGGCCTACAGCTGGAAGGAGGAAGAGGAAGAGGATGAAGGCTCCATGGAGTCCCTCACATCCTCAGAGGGAGAGGAGCCTGGCTCCGAAGTGGTGATCAAGATGCCCATGGTGGACCCCGAGGCGCAGGCCCCCACCAAGCAGCCCCCACGGAGCTCCCCAAATACAGTCAAGAGGCCGACCAAGAAAGGGCGCGATCGAGCCGGCAAGGGCCAGAAGCCCCGAGGGAAGGAGCAGCTGGCCAAGCGGAAGACCTTCTCGCTGGTCAAGGAGAAGAAGGCGGCTCGGACCCTGAGTGCCATCCTCCTGGCTTTCATCCTCACCTGGACGCCGTACAACATCATGGTGCTGGTGTCCACCTTCTGCAAGGACTGTGTTCCTGAGACCCTGTGGGAGCTGGGCTACTGGCTGTGCTACGTCAACAGCACCATCAACCCCATGTGCTACGCACTCTGCAACAAAGCCTTCCGGGACACCTTTCGCCTGCTGCTGCTTTGCCGCTGGGACAAGAGACGCTGGCGCAAGATCCCCAAGCGCCCTGGCTCCGTGCACCGCACCCCCTCCCGCCAATGCTGATGGTCCCTCTCCTGCATCGCTCCACCCCAGTCCCCGGGAGAGGCCGGAGGGAAGCGGGCAGGGGCTGCATCCTCAGCCCCAGAGCCCCGCGCAGGCCTCACCTGGCCTCCCAAGCCCCTGGGTCACCTTGCTGGGCAACCCAGAGGGACCCTGCCAACTTTCCAGACTTTGCTATTCCCAGGCAGGGAGGGAAACCTGGGGAACTGGTTTTTCTGTTCCCTGCTGGGTGGGAATGGGCTCTTCACCAGGAAGAAGGCCCGGGAGGAGGATCCGGGCTTTGGACTCCTTGTTTGCCTTTAGGCAGGAAGTCAGGAGCCAGCAGGGCGGGCCAGGAGAAAGAGGGCTTAACCTTACAGTATTCCTTGGCCCAGGGGCGGCCCGCATTGCGGGGTGAGATGGCGCCCCCTGGGGGACACAGCCGGGAACTGAACGGACCACTGGGAGAAAAGCTTGACTACAGGGAGCTGGGGAGCCCGGATGGGGGAATCCCCTCGCTTCATAGGCAGAGCCCGCCCAGCTGGGCCCTAGGCATACGTTCCAGGATTGTCCAGACCCCCTACAGATGTCCCCAGAGGGTCCCTAGGTGGGTCACCTCCAAGGCAAATGTCCAAGCATCAGCAGGATGACACTGGAAGGGACCAGCTTGGCTAGTCACACATCAAGTCCCAAGGCAGCAGGACCAGGAGCCGGGTGTCCTGACCGTCCTACGATATCATTTCCCTGGGAGTGGGAGTCAAGTGTGCCTGCTGTCCATACCCCTGCCCCAGAGAAGCCTCAGTCCCTCCCTCCTGGCTCACAGCCGCCACCTGGACAGACCTGCTCCCTGCAGACCTAGCCAGGCCTCCCGCATGCTGCCTGCTCTGGCCCTGCCCCACACAGGCCTGGCCCAGCCAGCAGGTTCTCTCCAGTGAGCTCCCCAATCCAACCCATGCATGGCCTCCCAGCCACCCGGATCTCCAGGCCCAGCCTGGCCCCAAATGTTCTTTCCTTTCATCCTCAGCAAGTGCTGAGTCTGTGAATAAAGCCACATAAGCAGCGGGCACTAAGGGGCCTTCCTCCCTGTGTTGGCTCAAGGCCTTGGTCTCAGGCCAGGGCTGGATGGGGCAGGGAGGGCCCAAGTACTTTGGAATGTGGGCTGTGGCCCTGAAAATGGTTCCAGGAGGGACAGCATTGCATGGTTGGATCTACCAAAGCGCGGGGACCCCAGCACCATGGAGTCCCTGGCTCAGGTGAGTGGGGCTATAAAAGGCAGAGCTGGCCTCTGGAAGTGAGGCAGCTGGGTGAAATCAACCACCTCTGCCTGCACCCCTGCATATTCTCTATTGGCCCTGCCATACCCAGGGAGAACAGAACTCTTCCAAACCCTCACTTTATGCATGAGGAGGTAAGGCCCAGAGATCCAGGAGGATTGTTCAGGGTTACCCCACAAAGCAACACCCAGACTTGCAGGTAATTTGTAGCCTCCTGACTTCTGGATTGTGCAGATGAGAGGCCTAAAGCATTTAGGCCAAAACACTCCCTCAGGATGACCCAGGTCAGGTTATAAATCACTTCATTGGTGAAGGGTCCCCAAAGCCTAATGCAAAGGAATTCTAGAGAGGTTAATCCCGTAGCCTGGAACAGTAGTTTCCAAGACCATCATTGGATTCAGCGATTTGCTAGAATGATGCACAGAACTCAGCAAAGCCACTACACTCACAGTTTATTACAGGGAAAGAATGCAGAGCACAAAACAGCAACAGCAAAAGGTGCATTGAGCAGAGTCCAGGAGAGGCCAGATACACACCTGCAGCCCTCCTCCTCCAGTGGAGTCATGTAGACAGCACCCATCTTCCAGGCAACGATGTCTGACAACATAAATGAAGTTCTGCCAAGGCCGAATAAGACAGCTCCCCAGAGCTTCGGTGTCCAGTGTTCCTACTGGAAGCTGGTCACGTAAACATGGCTGACCACCCACATGGCTGACCATACTTACTTAGTCTCCAGCTCTTCTAGAAGTCAGACTGATACCATGAGGCCCAAGGCCTCCCCCATAAATCCCACTGTTGGCATAGACTCTCTAGAGTGGCCCAGGGCCCAGAGGAAAGTAAAACACTTCAGGCAGGCTATTCCAAGGGTGTAGTGTTACCTTCCAGGAGCCAGGCAAGGCTGAACTTTTCTTTGAAATGTGCAAATGTGCAGGGTTCAGATAATACAGACCTGCTGACTGAATCTTTCAGTTCACAGTGTTCTGACAGGAGCATCAGTATCACCTGGGAACTTGTTACATGTGAGAATTATCAGGGTCATCCTTGATTTACTAAATCAGAAACTCTGTGGAACTCACCACCTATTTATTTATTTATTATTTATTTTTTGAGATGGGGTTTCACTCTTGTTGCCCAGGCTGGAGTGCAATGGCACGATCTCAGTTTACCACAAACTCCACCTCCTGGGTTCAAGTGATTCTCCTGCCTCAGCCTCCTGAGTAGTTGGGATTGCAGGCATGCACCACCACGCCTGGCTAATTTTGTATTTTTAGTAGAAATGGGGTTTCTCCATGTTTGTCAGGCTGGTCTCAAACTCCTGACCTAAGGAGATCTGCCCGCCTTGGCCTCCCAAAGTGCTGGGATTACAGGCGTGAGCCACCATGCCCAGCTGCCACTTTTTTTTTTTTTTTTTTGAGACAGAGTTTTGATCTTGTTGCCCAGTCTGGAGTGCAATAGTGAGATCTCGGCTCACGGCAACCTCTGCCTCCTGGATTCAAGTGATTCTCCTGCTTCAGCCTCCTGAGTAGCTGGGATTACAGGCATGCACCACCACGCCCGGCTAATTTTGTATTTTTAGTAGAGATGAGATTTCTCTGTGTTGGTCAGGCTGGTCTCAAACTCCTGACCTCAGGTCATCCGCCTGCCTCAGCCTCCCAAAGTTCAGGGATTACGAGCGTGGGCCACCACACCCAGTCACTCGCCACCTGTTTTTAACAAGCCCTCCAGGTGTTCCAATGCAGGCTAAAGTATGGAAATTGTTCCCCTAAAGGGATGAGGTCTGAAGTGGAGCTAAACCGGGCATCCCCAAACTTTTTACACAGGGGGCCAGTTCACTGTCCCTCAGACCGTTGGAGGGCTGCCACATACTGTGCTCCTCTCACTGACCACCAATGAAAGAGGTGCCCCTTCCCGAAGTGCGGCGGGGGGCCGGATAAATGGCCTCAGGGGGCCGGCCGTAGTTTGGGGACGCCTGAGCTAAACCCTTGCAGAGGGGGAAGTGGAGATTCAGCCCACTTGCAGCTGTTCAGACTCCCAGAAGCCTTTGGAAGAACGCTTCCAACACGATGAAAACTGGTATCCATTGAAGATGTCAACAGGACAGGCTAGCCAGGAGCACTGTGAGAATGACTCTAGGATACAGATCCCATATGCCCTTCCCACCAGCACAGCTTACTGGGTTGTCAGCTCGAGACGCTAGAGGGCCTCTCCCTTACCACTGCTCCCTCACAGCCCCAAGGCCCTTTTAAGGTTACATGCCCTGGCCCATATTGAAGGCGTTGAAACTGAGGTCCTGGGAGGCAGAGGGACTGCGAAAGCTGAGCAGTGCTGGGGGAATAGGAACTCTGGGGTCAGATTAACCTGAAGGCCGGAGGTGGAGGGGTCAAATCTGGTATTCACATCAGAAATGGGGCTAGCAGTTCACACCTGTCCCTTGTCCCAGACGCAGGTCTGACCTGCCACGTCCCTCACTGAACAACCTTAGGCATGTCCCAGTGTCTTCATCTCTGGAAGGGGAACAAGCCCTTTACAGAAGAGTTATGAGTATGAGACAGTGTGGAGAGATCCCCTCAGTGGCTCTATGGCCAGTGTTTCCACAGGATAGGGCTGCTCACCGGTAACTCCCAGAAACCAGGATTAGTTTCAGACCCAGCTGTGACCCTACGCCTCCCCCAACACAGGGAGAAGAAACTTAAACCCCATCATGGCTTGGTTAAAGGAGTTTGGGGGAACAAGTCTTGGCGGGAGAGTGAGCGCATTCCAGCAAGGCTTCCCAGAGATGTGGTCTGTGCCCTCAGGCCTCTGAAGCAAGAGTCCTGCAGATCCAGCTGCCAGAGAATCAGGGAAATGGGATAAGCCCAAAGAGAGAGGGTGGCTGGACATGGAAACTGTCCCCCCAACACACTGCACCACTCCTCCATTCTGAGGGAGTCCTTCGCCCCAAAAACAAGGGCTACTACTGCCTGAGCTGGAAATAGGCGAAGAATGAGGTGGCTTTGTAATGCTGTCTTCTCCCCTACTGCTACCAACCCTTTCTCCAGCCTGGAGAGGTCAGGATCCTTTCCTCCTGCGCCACCTTCCACTCCCACCATGTTGCTTTAGCGCCATCTGCTGGCAATAACAGGACTAGCTCTGCCAAAAAAAAAAAAAAAAAAAAAAAACCTCGGCTCTTGGAACCTGCCTGGGCCTGCTTCTCAGATAACCAGACCACAGGACATAACGCAGTAGGTGGTTTTGGCCACCCCAGTCCCTGCCTCCAAGTCTCAGCAGGGACATCAGACCCCAGAAGGATCAGCTTCCTTGGATACTACTGTAAACTTGCAGAGACAGGCCCTACCTCTCTGGCCAGTATACCAATTTCGCCAACAAGATCACAGAAGGTAGGAGGCTTCGCATCTAGGAACAGCTCCATCTTCTCCTAATCCTCCATGGCCCCAGGCCTTAGGAATCCTTGGTTTCATTCTTAGGACACTGGCTAGGATTTCACAGGACTTATGCTGACCCAACTGGAAATTCAGGCACATGCTCACCTTTAGAGCACAAAACCCTTTTTTGTTTGTTTCTGGTTTTTGTTTTGTTTTTGTTTTTTTTTTTTTTTGAGACGGAGTTTCGCTCTTGTTACCCAGGCTGGAGTGCAATGGCGCGATCTCGGCTCACCGCAACCTCCGCCTCCTGGGTTCAGGCAATTCTCCTGCCTCAGCCTCCTGAGTAGCTGGGATTACAGGCACGTGCCACCATGCCCAGCTAATTTTTGTATTTTTAGTAGAGACGGGGTTTCACCATGTTGACCAGGATGGTCTCGATCTTTTGACCTCGTGATCCACCCGCCTCGGCCTCCCAAAGTGCTGGGATTACAAGCTTGAGCCACCGCGCCTGGCTGTTTTTTTGTTTTTGTTTTTGTTTTTGAGATGGAGTTTTGCTCTTATTACCCAGGCTGGAGTGCAATGGCACGATCTCGGCTCACCGCAACCTCCGCCTCCTGGGTTCAGGCAATTCTCCTGCCTCAGCCTCCCGAGTAGCTGGGATTATAGGCACGCGCCACTACGCCCAGCTAATTTTTTTGTATTTTTAGTAGAGACGGGGTTTCACCATGTTGACCAGGATGGTCTCGATCTCTTGACCTTGTGATCCACCCGCCTCGGCCTCCTAAAGTGCTGGGATTACAGGCTTGAGCCACCGCACCCGGCCAACTTTTTTTTTTTTAAAGTCTTGCTTTGTCACCCAGGCTGGAGTTCAGTGATGCCATCTCAGCTCACTGCACCCTCTGCCTTCCCGGTTCAAGCGATTCTCATGCCTCAGCTTCCCAAGTAGCTGGGATTACAGGTGTGCACCATCATGCCCAGCTAATTTTTGTGTTTTTAGTAGAGACAGGGTTTCACTATGTTGGACAGGCTGGCCTCGAACTCTTGCCTCGGCCTCCCAAAGTGCCAGGATTACATATGTGAGTCATCGAGCCTGGCCTGCCTCCTTAACTTCCTAATCTTACTGGACTGTATTTTCCAACAGCCTCCAAAATGGCTCCTGACCCAGTCTCAGCCACCTGAAACTTCTACCTCCTCAACAAGTATAGAGAGAGCTTCCTGGAGCTCAAACCTGAGCAAGCCACTCCCTGCCAAGAACATGTGAGTGGTTTCCTCATCAATAAGAGCAATGTTTCTTTCTTCTTTCTCTTGTTCTTACCGGAACTTGTTACATGGATTCTGGTGCTCTATCCCAGACCTTCTAAATCAGAACATCCAGGAGAAAAAATTCAAGGCTTTTCTTTCTAATCATTGCCCTCAGGCCTAAGTCAGCAAATG